TACTCCCATGGCTTGAGTCTTGCTAATGTTTAGTTTATAGTACGAGTGCCGTCCGTATTCTAGAATTGTTTCCACCAGGTTGGGGAGAGATATCTGTGGTTGTGTCAGGGTGAGCAGCACGTCGTCGGCAAATAAGTTTGTTTTGTATTCCTTGTCCCCTATAGTCACCCCATGTATTGAGGCGTGTTGTCTTATGGCTATCGCAAGCGGTTCCAGCGCTAAAACATATAGTAGTGGGGATAGCGGGCACCCCTGGCGTGATCCATTAGTTATGTGGAAGGGATCTGACACGAACCCCGCGTTTAGGACTTGGGCCGTTGGCCTGTTGTATAGAGCCCTGACCGCCGAGAGGAAGCCCTCTGGTATCCCGACATTAGTAAGGACCGCCTCCAGGAACTCCCAGTTCAGTCGGTCGAAGGCCTTTTCTGCGTCCAGTGCTACCACCACGCCTCCCATTCTCATGCGTTGGGCACTGTATATTATGTCAAGCACTTTCCTGGTGTTGTCTCCCCCCTGTCTGCCTTTTATGAACCCCACTTGGTCCGAGTGGATGAGGTGAGGAAGCAGGCTTCCCAACCTGTGTGCATATATTTTGGCGTATAGTTTGGCGTCCGTGTTGAGGAGGGAGATAGGGCGGAAGTTTTGGGGGCAGGTGGGCGGCTTCCCCGGCTTGGGTAGCGTTATGATGTGGGCTAATAGTGTTTCACGGGGTAAGCTTTGTCGTTGAGTGGCTTCGTTGTAAGCTTTCGTTAAATATGGCACCAGGATGGGTTTGAATGCTTTGTAGTAGCAGTTAGCAAAGCCATCTGGGCCTGGGGCCTTGCCTGTTGGGAGCTGTTGGATTGCTGCGTCCACCTCCTCTTCGGTGACGCTGGCGGAGAGTGTGTGTCGTTGTTGCAATGTCAGTGAGGGCATTGGTATCTTGTGCAAGTATTGTTGTATGTTCTGTGAATTTGGTTGATATGTGTTGGCATCATTCACCAGGTTATAAAGGGATGCGTAGTATTTGGCGAACGCATTGCTAATGTCCTTGGGGGCTGTGATTTTGTGACCCTCTTCCGTTCGGATGTATGCTATCTTTTGTTTAGTTTGGATTGTTTTGAGGCGCTGTGCCACTAGTTTGCCTGCCTTGTTTCCTTGAGCGTACTGTGTCGCTTTGAGCTTCTGGAGGTGCTGTCCTGTTCTATCTAGTGCTTGTTTGTGCATGTTGTGCGTGAGCTGAATAATGCGTTTCTTTAGGTCTTGTGAGGGGTTCCTTTGGTTTAGGGTCGTGATGTCTAGTAGTTCTTTCTGCCTCTCCTGGTGTTGTGTGTCTGCCTGTCGTTTGAGGGTTGCTGCTCTTTGGATCAAGAGTCCTCGTGCTACGGCTTTGTGTGCCTGCCAAATCGTATTGTGGGATACCTGAGCTGTCGTATTTTCCGCGAAGTAGTGTCGCAGTGCTCTTTCTAGTGTTTTACAGAAGTTGGGGTCCCTGAGGAGAGAGGCGTTAAGTCTCCAGGGGCTTCTGTGCTTGGAGTCGTATAGGTCGGTCAAAGTCACTACTACCGGTGCATGGTCTGACCATGTGAACTGTTTGATGTCGCATTCTTTTATTTGGTCTAGGTGTTGTCCCTTAACTAGTATGCCGTCAATCCTGGAGTACGCGTTGTGTACCGTGGAGAAGAATGTGTAGCCCCTTTCCCCAATATGTGTCGCCCGCCACACGTCGTAGTAGTGGTGTGTATTGAGTAGTGTTTGTATTGCTTTGCATTGACGTTTGAGCGGTCGCATTCTGGGTGCTGCTGGCGACGCCGTGGAGTCTACCGTGGGGTCCATCACGTGGTTGAAGTCCCCACATATTATACTAATCCCCTTTTGTGTTGTTTCTAGTTTCTTTATTATTTTATGGAGGAAAAGTTTTTGACCTTCGTTTGGGGCATAGACGTTCATGATCGTGTACGTGATGTCATTAAAGTCGCCCACCACCAGGACATATCTCCCTCCCTCGTCCACTTCTAGATGTGAAAGGGTAAACGCTACATCTTTGCTAATAAGTTTGGAGGCTCCCTTTGACTTGTTGGAATAGGTAGCGTGGAACTGGTGCGGGAAGTCTTGTGCGAACAGTGGGGAGTGTGAGTTCGTTTTAAAGTGAGTTTCCTGTAGGCACACTACGTCCGGGTTGTTTTGTTTCAAATCCCGGCGTAGTAAGCTGCGTTTTGCAGGGCTGTTTAAGCCTTTGGTATTGTGGATGTATATTTTCATGGGGGTTTAAAAGGTGTTATTCGCTTATCCTGATAAGCGTCGGTGTCTATGTGTGGGGTAGCCGCCTTACCCAGGCTGGCCGGGATTTAAATAAATAAATAAATAAATAAAAAACTGCGGCGGGGCAGGGATTACCGTGCGGTGGGGCGGAGCTAAAGGTGCCGTGTAACTGCTACAGGGGAAGCAGGAAGGAGTCCCTGCTTCCCTCAACAACCAGAATCCAGGAGCTGCACTGCCTGTCTGCCTCCACAAGGAACATAGGTAACTATGTGTGATTGTCTGCCTGTGTGTGTGACTGTCTGCCTGTGTGTGTGACTGTGTGTCTGACTGTCTGCCTGTGTGTGAGACTATCTGCCTGTGTGTGTGTGTGTGACTGCCTTGTGTGTGTGTGTGTGTGTGTGTGTGTGACTGTCTGGGCAGACTAGATGGGCCGAATGGTTCTTATCTGCCGTCACATTATATCTTTCTATGTCTGCCTGTGTGTGTGTGGCTGTCTGCGTGTGTTTTTGTGTGTGGCTGTCTGGCTGTCTGTGTGTCTGTGTGTGGCTGTCTGCGTGTGTGTTTGTGTGTGGCTCTCTGCGTGTGGCTGTCTGCCTCTGAGTGTGTGACTGCCTATGTGTGACTCTCTGGGCAGACTAGATGGGCTGAATGGTTCTTATCTGCCATCACATTCTATGTTTCTATGTCTATGTGTGTGTGTGGCTGTCTGCGTGTGTGTGTGACAGGGTGTGTGGGAAGGGGGAGAACTGGAGGATGGGAAGGGGGAGGCGCTGTGAAGATTTTTCGCACAGTGCGCCCAAAGGCCTAAGGCCGGCCCTGGTAGGCTTCATGTCTCTGTGGGCCATGTGTCACGAAAACAGTTTTCCTTGATAATGGCTGCACACCCAGTCTAAAATAACAGGAGAGTCGTTGGTCAGTGGGGGAATGAACATGCCTTTACAATAGGGTAGGATGTTAGCCTACATTAACAGATCTGCTCGAACATGTGTTGTCATGGTGATACTGTCAATAGGAAACCTGGAGTAGGCAGAGCAGTCTAGAAATTAGGGGTTACCTTGCGGTATAATGCACATGGCAAAGTAGAGAGAACCAAGGAGAGACTGGAGATGCAAATGGGAACAGGCACCTTTGCCAAAGAATGACTCAGTCTTTACTGATATGCTGGGCACTGCCCGCGGGGGGCAGGGCTGTATTGACAATAAGTCAGGATGTACGCATATTAATGTCACTGGTAGTTGTCTGTTATACTTGCACAGGCGTAGATACCCACCTGGGAAACTCAGAATTGGCAATCAGGAGTCTGTACAGCGTGGCTTCAGTGCTGTAGCTGGGAGTGGTAAGTCTTTACGCATGAGTTCGGCAGCAATTAGGAACGGCCCAGGATTACAAGGAACTACGTTGGTGGTATCCAAGTACTTGACCAGGGTACAATGGACTAGCTGGGGTGGAGGGTCTGGCGGGGGTACTTGGGAATTAAATAACCTCTTCTAGTGGTGAAAGACATAATATTATGAATAAACAATGAGTAAATGTAATGGGCATGTCGATAAGATTGTAACCCTCTATCAACTGGCAGCTCGCTAAGTGCCGGATGGCGAAGAAATTAGCTATACAAGAGTGAGGTGAGCCTTGCTAAATGCCAAGTGGCTCAGAGAGGCTCTAGCTGTGATTTTGGCCAAGGGACTGAGGCCACAGTAAGAAGTGGCGTGAATGTTGGCCTCTCGGTGACAAGTAAGAGATTCAAATGAGTGGCCGTGACCGGTGAGGCCCTACCCTATAGAATGTAAGCTCGATTGAGCAGGGTCCTCTTCAACCTATTGTTCCCGTAAGTTTATTTGTAATTGTCCTATTTATAGTTAAATCCCCTCTCATAATATTGTAAAGCGCTACGGAATCTGTTGGTGCTATATAAATGGCAATAATAATAATATCTACTAACATGTAGAGGTTGGAGCGAGGCTCTAGCTATGATTTGGGCCGATGGGTGAATACCTCTGCGTGAGGATGGGTGTTGGCCTCGCAGGACTGAATTATTAATATGTACTAGGAAATGGCCTGCACCAAACCCTTTGCAGCCTGTTGATCTATCCCTAAGAAGTGTAGGGGAATAGAAACATAATGGATTGATAGAACGTATGTTGGAACGTACGTACATTGCCCAACTAGTGAGGTTGAGCTAAAGAAAGGATGTCGTAGAGAGGAACCTAAAGAAACAATGGGAATATCTCCAGGATGGTGTACGTGCTAACTGAAATAACGTACCTGTGTTGTGGTTAAGGATTAATACATCAACTACAGGTTGATAAGTAAGAATGGTGGGAACTAAGAAAAATAAGGGAACTTATGTATAATGAGTACATACCTAGGCCAAACAAAATGAGTCAGGAAAAGAGATACCTGATTGAACTGAATCTAGATATGAGTTCCCACTGTGCGTCCTACTAGAAGGACCTGAAGTATGCATGAGAAAAAATAGCCTTTGTAATTAAACGCCAAAACGTGTATGTAACATCTCTAGCTTAGTAGCGTAAAGCGAATTATGAGATCTAGTAATCACCTTAGATGAATTGTACACCCTGTTACGATTGTCCCCGGTCTAGCAGGGGGGTTGATCGCTTGGATGTCCTGGTTCGCGCAGTAAGAGAGTCGAACGGAGTTCCTTCGGTAAAAGCTGCAAGTGTAGAGTATCCCCAAAAGCTGTATGAGCATCAATATCCCGGATCCCTACAACATGAGTTGAGGCTGCAAGTTGAGGGTCAAAACGAACTGGCTTTATTGGCACACAACATGACAATTTATGCAATTCCTCAGGTCCAAGGACAGCCCCCTATGGACCTGATGGAATACAGGTACAGTACAAACAGGTAACCAATCACAGTACAATGTATCCTTTGAATTAGTACCCGCCCAGCCTGGAGATAATGAGGCCAACGGTTATACAATCTAATTATCTCCAAACGCACAAAAGACCACGTTTTATTATGTCTCATAAAACAGTATAAAAATGCATAACTTCAATATTAATAGGGGGAAACGGTTCATTCTACCATTCATTCAATAGCTCGAGTTTGGGTACATTAAATATACGAATGGCGCTCAGACCCCGCGAACGGAATGGGCAATTTCTGCCGTATAAAGTCTGTTCGATACTTTGGTCGTGAGTCCCTGATTGCGGCCATGTTTTTAGGCGGTTTAATGAGCAGCGGGACCTCGACTCCAACTTATGGAATGGAAATCTGATATGTGATCATGCGAATCCCCGCTGTCTGTCTGGTAGTGGAAGTTGTTTGGTGTACGAATTGAGACCGCCCGGTAGCACGGTACTTGAATTGCGGTTAACCGCAGAAACCACATTCTAATTGCTGCCACACGACCCACTGTAGGTCTCCGTTCGTGAGTTCTTCGGTAGTTTCCCTTCGGTAATTTGTATGCGAACGTAGATCCTCTGTGCCCGTCAATTAGTTTGTGGTTAACCGCAGACCGCAGCAGCCTGGGGGGTTAATGGGTGACACACTCCGCTTGTCCGGTGGTCGGTCATTCGGTACTTTGAGGGGTGATGAGGTTAAGTGGCGGCACACGCTAGCGTTTGGGGGTCTCTCGTTCGTACCACGAATGGTTCTTTATAAGGATTCGTATAATCCATTCGTATTTTCTCTGTATCAATAGTATAGGGATGCAACAGTAACAAGATGTGGTAACAATAATAAAGTCATATCGAGTCTTTGTAACACACCCCATTGTACAGCGCTACAGAATCTGATGGCACTATATAAATAATAATAATGAAGGTGAGGATTATACTAAATTTAATTAAAATATACAGATCAAATAGGCTTGAATACGTATAATTGCGTAATGAGGGGTTCTGGGTTCTTGGGAGTAGGCCGAGAGAGTAACCATATAGGGAGGACTGGTGTGGGCCTAGCAAGGCAAGGTGGAATAGTAAAATGTGATATGAAAGGGATGTTGTTTTTCCTTGAGGGCAGGAAAATGTTGTATGTAAATGCTCAAATGGGGGGGCTGAAATTGGATCGTAGTGATTTGCCCGAAGAGGGCCGTATGTAACAGTTTGCAGTGAAGGACTAATGGGGCCATGTGTAGAGGTATCGTAGCGAAATAATATAAGTCCTGAGCTGCAGGATAGAAATAAATTGGGCTGTATGAGAGGTTCAGACAGGTTGTAAGAGTTGTGTGGAGATCAAGCATGATGCCTTTGTTGTTTGAACCGGTCCATATGTAGTGGTATGGAGAATTGTCATGAATACCAGGGTGGCAGTGTTGTATGTAGTGGAGGGCCATCTGAGGCTGTGATTAAAGCAAAATGAGGCAAATAACCAACATGATAGATTATTAAAGGGACACTATAGTCACCCAGACCACTTCAGCTCAATGAAGTGGTCAGGGTGCCAGACCCCTCAGGTTTTAACCCTTCAGATGTAAACATAGCAGAAAAGAAAACTGCTATGTTTACATAGCAGGGTTAATCCAACCTCTAGTGGCTGTCTTCCTGACAGTTGCTAGAGGTGCATCTGCGACGCTGGATGCGCATTCCGCTCTACTCGGGAGCTGACGTCGGCAGGGGAGGAGAGGTCACCAGCACCGAGGGAGCCCAGCACTGGATTATGGTAAACAGCTGAAGGGGTTTTAAAACCTTCAGCGCCAAGGGAGCGGCACCCTAAGGGTGGGGGCATCCTTAGGGCACTATAGTGTCAGGAAAACCGCTTTGTTTTTCTGACACTATAGTGATCCTTTAAGTGTCTAGACGTAGGTGACTTGTCATATGTAACGTTGTCAATACCATGCTAGAATGAAGTGGATAAATATGTGGAGTAAGGATAAAACTTATCGGATGAGGTATTAAGGTTAAGGTTTCCCAGATTCCTTAGGCTCCAAGAGATCCATATAAGTTGGGTTGGAGTAGGTCTAGCGAGACCGAGTGTATAATTGAATGAAGTAATATAAGCAGTATATAAGCCCTGAAATAGGCCCTTCATTTTAAGCCCAAATGAGGAGCCAAAATTGTGTTGTATTGGGTTGCCCATAGAGGGCCTTGTGAAGCGAATGTAGTGAAGGTCAAGAAAGGACCATGTTTAAAGGTATTGTTCACACTCAATCGTTTGCAACATATGAGTGTATTTAGGCTGTGTCCTATGTAGATGATGATCCCACCTAATAGATACTGCTGAACCATAGTGTTTGACATGGGGTAGGGACAACGTATATGATGAAGGATACAGGTTCCCAAGGAGGATGTCCTACTGAAAGCTGTACCGTATAGTAAGGTATGAATAGTTTATCGATATCATGTAGTGTGGTGGGGTAGTATACAATCCCTGTAAGTGGATGTTATGCAAATGAAAAGCCCAATGAAGCACTGAAATAGGAACATAGTATGTAGCCAACTGAGGGTCATGTGAAACGGACGTTGCAAAGTTCATTGACTATGTATATGAGGCCGGGATGGGACACAATGTAAGGCCTGAGGTACAGGGTGGCCATGTGAGGCTGTGATAAAAGTAATGGAGGGGGTGATTGGTAGGTCAGATATAGGTTGTAGAGTTTGAGAAGTAGCGATTAAAGGAGCTATAATAGTAATGAGACAGTAGAGAAATAACAAAAATAATAAGTCTAGCTTGTGAAATGGTTAACACAAAGAATGTAAGAAATACACGTTAAAAGTTATACAATACATACTTACTGAGCCAGTTTAACGGAGGGTATAAAACAGAATATACGACAGGAATGAGGCTTAGACCACTAGAATGCAATAGTGCTGAATTGATTTTAGGCTGTGATGGCTGTACGTTAAACGTAGGAGGAAACAGAATTTACAAGACATACGTTTATAAAACGTCTAGCTTGTGAAAAGTGAACGTAATGGTTTTTTTTGTTTTTTTTATATTTATAATACATATGTTTAGAAAGCATACTTGTGGAATGCTTAGGAGGATGATTAACTCTTATGCATACATAATTGGTATAGCACAATAGGGTTTAAAGCAACAGCAAATGCTAGAATAACAGAGTAACATGCATTAATGTGAGGCTAGTGACGGTCGAATCGAATGACAGTACCATGTGTTAGAGGCCCTGTAGGACTTGTAAATATAATCCCAATTGAAAAAAAAAAACGCATGTTTTCATTTGGGGTATATCTACTAAGCTTTTTTTTTGGCAGTGGTATGTCCCCAAGTGGCGGACCTGGTAGCTCAACGCGAACAAACTTACGGTTTTTCTGAAAAACACGTGAAGAGCAACAGGATGTGGCAGTGCCCCATGAGCTTCGAGGGAGGGGAGTTTTTTCTTTTTTACTCAAATGAGGTAAAATGAATACTTGCATGGGCCACACTAAGCCAAGACTAGCTTTTGTTTGGAATTCATGCAGTTTGTGTTGATGACCTTTGAACCGGAAGTAGATGGTTCTGCACTGAATCAGGAATACTCGGCCCAGACAAAGGGGAAGCCTGTGAATTTATAGGCCGGACAAACCCCTCCCACAACTACAGGCTCTGCCCTTCCATATATATTACATGACTGTAATAGGGATAATACCACTTGCCTCCCTAATTTAATATTTCTTGCTAGTGAAGTCAGCCAGAATCAGCTATGTCAATGCAACACCTCTTAGGTGAGTACTAACAATTCACCTTGCTTCTTTCATCTTAAAGGTAAGGAAAGAAACCAGGTGATTTGTTAGTGTAGGACTCACCTAAGAGGTGTTGCATTGACGTAGCAGGTGAGCTTACACTTAAATGGCCATTGGAGTGATACTAAAAACCTCCAGTTATTCAAATTTGCATAAGGATTTGCAATATTGAGCAAGTAATTTTTTTTTTTTAATTGTATGTATTGGTGCTAATGTGTACTATAGTCATTGCTGTCACCCAGTAGTAGTGGGAGTTTGATCACAGGGCTTAATTTTGTACGTCAAAATCACCACATACCCACTGCAAACACTCTACTGCAGCTCCTAGCAAGAATTGAACATTATCTCGTCATTTAAATGGATTTCAACAGGGCAGTAACATTTGCCTTAAAGTGAATGAGTTTCCAGGCCCACAAGAACAGAAAACATGAACAGAAAACAAATAATTCCTTTAATTAGTTCATATTTCATACACACAACAAAACTTCCTGTAAAATACTGTCACTCAGCTCACGTAACTGCGCCAAGAAAACAACAAAAACAAACAACAAACCATTATACCATTATCAAAGTAGAGTCCTCACGATCTGAGTGGCCTTTAAGGTCCTCTTTGGTAATCGTTTAACCTTTTTGGTGATAAAATGCTTCATACCATCCAAACAGAAAACAGCTGCTAGCATAGTTTGGATCATGTCAGGAATATCGATTATTATATGTGAATTCAAAAACGTTAATTCCATTTGTTCTGATAACAAAAATGAACAAAACTAAAATGACAGTATAACCATTTTTAGCATTCATTTAACAAATGTCCCTGAGAGAGTTTTTGTCCCTCTAAAAAACAGATTCCTATAATATCTTCAAGGGTTGTTTACTAAACTGAGAATAGACCAGGAATTGAAAGTGTTGGGCCAATAGGGACAAATTTCAAAAACATTTCTGTTTTTGAGGGTTTTTGGATCAGCATTTTACCCTAAAATGTATAATTCCCTAAATGGGTCAATTTCCAGTTAAGTGAACGACTTTGTTAGTGTACAGTGAACATATTCTCTTCATCTTGGTAACTGGCACATTGCCAAGATTGTCTCACAGTGAAGAGGATTATATTTAGTTAAACATTACAGCTTCACATTGGTTTTGGTGTCCTATAATTATACACAGTACATTACAGTGTGATTCGCATGTGCTTTTAATCTGCCATCTCAAATTTTGAGTATGGCTTTGTAAATGTCAGCATACCCGCTGACACTATTTTCAAGGATGACATATCCAATGGCCACATTGCCTTTAAATCGGCACTGTCACGCCAAACTTGCCTTTCACGTATTGTTTCCTATTCTCTTCCTCTATCAGAATCTGTTCTTCTTTTCTTTATTTCTGATCTATTTTTTTTTTTTTTCTGTTGGGACTTCTTTGTTTTTTGTATTTTCCCAACACTCTACTTTCTTTGACACAAGGAGGGGCTTAATTTAGCTCCATTTCCTGTGTCAAGGAGAAGGGTGAGTACTCCCTTTGACACAGGAAATGGAGCTGACTGAAGCTTCTCCTTTGGTCAAAGAAAGTCAAGCGTAGGAAATATACATAGGACAAAGTAATTCCTACTTTGTCTGATGTTTTAAAGAAAACTAGATCGGAAATAAAGAAAAGAACAGCTTCTTGGAGAGGAAGAAAAGAGGAAACAATAGTAGAAAGGTAAGTTTGGTGTGACAGGGCCGCTTTAATGATATCTACCTAACCATTAAAGGAACAACCTGGGCACCAGCACAAGTTGAGTGCACTTGACACGTTTTGACCTCATATTCGTGCTGTATTTTTTTTTCTCCCTAATCAATTCTTTTTAGTTTTGCTCTTTAAAAATATGTGAATATGAATGAGGATAAAATGCACTTAAGTTGTGTTGGTGCCCAGAATGTCCTTTTACATTAGGTAACTCCACATACACAACTACAGACACCACTTCCTTTCTGATTAGTCAATTTGTCTTCCGGATGGTAATTTTTGGCATCATTTGTATGATCATGATCAGCAATGCCCTTTTAGCATGTAAGCAGTAATGGAACATATCCATCTTAAAGCTCAGAATGTTGGCATGTTGTGAGCTTTAACATGTCTGGACCCTATATAAATGAATCAATAGGAATACAGACTCCCACCATTGCACACAAAGAAAACTGCAGCAGAGTTCTGAAGAAGGTGCCCAACTTTTAACATTGGAGTTGTCCAAGGTCAGCTCTTGTAATTCCACGGGATGCACAAATCACCGTCCTGCAGCACAGAGTAATAGTGTGAGATGCATAAGTGCATGTTGGACAAATAAGGTAAAGGTTCTTCAATCAAGCGTCTACAGCATTCAATCATCTGCAAACGTGTAACACTGGGCTCCTTGTACAGCCTAGTGAGGGATGATCTGGTCTGGCATGCTTTGGTCAGTTCTCGCTCCACAATCTTTAACCTGTGTAAGCAAGAAAAGATGTTTTCTTTAGGGCTCATCTATGCCACCACAACACTTTCTATGTAATGCTTTTGTTTTCTTTCTCTTTGTGTGGTATGTGTTTAATTTATGAATTAATATGTGATAGAGGCGGTTATAATAAGTCGCATGTTCTAGGATAGAATCTAAAATGTTACCACTTTTCAAAACAGTGAAATAAGAAGCACCTCTAGTGTTCTGAGTGACTGCCAGGCAGTCAATGTAAACACTGCCTTTTCTGTGAAAAAGCAGTGTTTACATTGCAAAGTTACATTGCAGGGACAGGATCTAGACACCAAAACAACTTCATTAAGCTGCAGCGGTTCTGGCAACTATAATGTCCCTTTAAGCTCCACTCTTTGTCACAATTGTCAAGCGTAGGAAAAATACATAGGACAAAGTAGTCCCTACTTTTTTTTTTTTTTAAATTCTTTATTTTGGTTGTGCAGATAATTACAGGTTATCAACAGACGCCACAACAGCGTGTTTCAGGAATTACAGAAATTAAATTGTGGCATAGAAGTTTGCACATTTTTTTTTTATATAGAGATAACAAGCTTGACTGAACATTTATCTTGTTAGAATAGCATTTGGGTAAATGATATTCAGCAGGTTAGGTGTGCTAGTTAGCTGGACAGTTGTGATGTAGGTTGTAGGCATTGTGTTTGTTAATGGTGTGTTAGGAGAGACAACCACCATACAATGCTAGCTAGACATTTTGAACAGCCTATTGAAATGCAGCTATTAATACGTACTGTATATGTTTGTTGCAAGTTGCTAAGCAAAAGGGTGAAAATAACTATCACTGTGCTTGGTAGGCTATATGAACTGCTTGACAGTAGAGATTATGGTGTATGCGCTATGTGTGCTGAGTTACCAATGCAGCTTGTGTGAGTATGGGTGAGGCTATAGGTAGGTATGCTTATCTTGTGGTCGCTTGGTCTCAAGTGAAGCCCCCCCCTGCAGTCCATGGCAGGAGCAACGGGAAGGGATGTTAAGGCTTAAGTGCATGCATACATTTGTAAGAGTTCATCTGGGTTGTGGGAAGGTAAGGGATATTAGGCACTTTGCCTGTCATTGAGACCCAGTCCTAGGTGGTTCATCCGATGCCCCGTTGGGGGTGGTTGTGCTCCCCTCGCGCTGTCAGTTGCTCAGTGCTGGACTCCGGTTCGCCCTGAGAGTAGCGTGTGTTCCCGGTTGGGATTTTTGTGGGTCGGCGTGGACACTGGCTGCTGCCGGTTCGAGTTAGTGATGTTGTGGTCGCGGCCGGGTTAGGTTTTACGCTCCGCCGTCTGCGTGGGCTGCCTTGGTATGTTTTGCCCCCCTCGAGTCTGCGCTGGTTCACTGCCTTTCTGTTGGGCTGTCTGTGAGGCTGTATCCCAGGATTTCCTTTAGTTTGAAGTGAGTCTTTGGAGGGCTGTATTGGGCTGTGGAGGGTGCGTGGTGTTGAGTGATCCAGTGCCGTGCCCAAGGGTGCCCCCCTCGCTGTCGGCAGCACGTGGCCCCTCTCACCTGCTCTCTTGGGGGTTTTCCGACTTGTCTGTGCGCTCTGTGCTCGGAGCTGCAGTTTCTCCCAGAACTTGGCGAACAGCTCATCAATGCGCCTTGTGAGGTCGGTGCTGCTGTCTGGACGCTGCTTTGGGATTGCAGGCTGGAACCGCTGTCGTGGTGAGTACTCAGCCGCCATCTTGTGCGTGCCTCGTGTGTCGCCGGCCCTGGAGTTCTACTGTGTCTCGTCTGTCTGTGCAGGTGTGGCACTCCGGGCTCACGGCGAGGACCGGGATATCCCCCTCCGGTCCAGGGGGGGGGGTTAGGAGGTTTGAGGGTCGAGGTGCTTCTGCAGCAGGCTGGCAGAGAGGAGAGCGGCCGTCTCTCCCTCTCCTTCTGTCTCGCAGGCCTCGGCAACCGCAGTGTGGGTCTCCGGGTCGTCAGGCTAGTGATTTGGGTATCGGAAGATGTGCCCGGGCGTCCCCCATACGGTTATGCCTCACCCGAGCAGATTTGCGCCAGGTAGTGGGGTATGTACCCCCAAAATCGTTTGTTTTGTGTCGGAGCTCGGACCTGACACGTCCGCTCGGTCTGGATGTTAGGCTCCGCCCCCCAGTAGTCCCTACTTTTGTCTTATGTTTTAAACAAAAACATATCAGGAATTAAGAAAAGCACAGAAGAGGAAACAATATGAGAAATGTAAGTTTGAGGTTACAGAGACATTCTAAGGGTTAAATTCATCAGGGCTATGACTTAAATTATTATTGGTATGTAATTGTATTTTGTCTTGTATTAATTTTTACATTTCTGGATTTCAGTTGTGATATTTTCTGGGAAATAGGTAATGTGGGGGATTTCCAGTAAAGTGAGTTTAAGGCACACGCAGCATTTAGTACATGTTTGAATATTATTTTTTTATTTTCAATTATATACAACAAACTGGGAAAGCTGCACATCTGGGTAACACTTTAATTGATGTCCAGGTAATTAAAAACTACAATAATTAGTAGGACTAGCATCTCAGCAATTGGAATTTTGAACATGTTACATCACACTTTTAAGTCACAATTGGTAGAAGCACAAACCAGAAAGGATGCTTATCTGGATTTGGTTATAATGAACAATGTTGATCTGTTGATCAAACATTCAAGTAATGAAGTAATGAAATAGTGTTCACTATGGTGTCTTGAAATAAACCCAATAAATAAATGTACATGGCTATGCTACAACATATAATTTTAAAAAGGCCAATTTAAATAAGATCAGGACAACTTTACAACTGAATGACTGGCATAAACACTGTCATGTAAAAAAACATAAATGGATATCAACAGAACAGACTGAAACCAATGTGGCTTAGTAGGAAGTTATGCCAATAAGAAAAGAGCATTTAACACAGAAAAATCAGAGGCACCCTATGTAAAATAGAAGGAAACAAATATTGTCTTTAGGTGATTAGATGGGCTAAACTAGAAAATGAAAAAGTGAGAGCATATATTTTCTAGAATAAAATGACTTACTCATCATTCCTTTTCAGTTTTTCCCTTGCTTTTCCTGCATGAGTCAGAAGAAACCACTGTAGAGCTGCTGAATCACATGTTGTAGGTATGTTAAAATGCCCCATTTCATGTACCCGAGGAACAAACCGATCACTACAATGACAGGTAAAAGAAAAAAAACACATGATTTTTACTACCATAGGTTAGTCCCACTCACATATGAAACCTCATCAGGAACAGCAAACATTTAACTGTGATCTAATCTCCAAAATAAATACAGGCCTATTAGTCCTTACCTATGTCAAAGAGATCAATGTTCTCTACATAAAAAAGGCAAAGAAAATGCTCAGACCTGAAAACAATCACAAACACAAGGTTGTTCAAAGACTTAGAGTATAAATGAGTTTTTTAATATTTTCTCACTAAGAAAAAAAATTCTGCAGTAGTTTTTAGGTGATGAGATAATTAGTTTAGTGAGTGAGTGTCTGTAAGTATCTGCATGTGTCTGTCAGTGAGTGCATGTGTCTGTGTGTTTCAAATAAAACTGATCAAATCAGTGAGGATATGTGTGTCAAATAAGTGGGTGTGTATGTATGTATGTATATCTGAGAGCAGTGGTGTATCCTGGTTTTGTGCTGCCCTAGGCAGGACAAAACTCAGGCACCCCCCTCCCCCCGCGCCACCCCCACCCAACCCTTCCCCCCGCCCCACCTTCTAAATACACACACACACAAACAGTCAGACACACACACACAGTCAGACACAAACACACACAGACAAACACACACACAGTCAGACACACACACACACACAGTCAGACACAGTCAGACACAAACACACACAAACACACAGTCAGACACAAACACACACAAACACACAGTCAGACACACACACAGTCAGACACAAACACACACACACAGTCAGACACAAACACACACAGTCAGACACACAATTACTCACATCAAATTTTTTTTTTCTTTTTCTTTAACCCCGCCCTGCCTCCTTACCTTTGGGAGTGCTGGGGATCCAGTGGCTGCCGGTCGGGCTGATGGGCTGGCTGATGGGCTGGCTGCTGGGTGGGCGGCTGGCAAGGGAGCACTTACTCTGAGCTGACTGCTCAGCTCCCTCGCGCGCTGCAGAGTGAGGCTGGGAGCCGGAATATGACGTCATCTTCCGGCTCCCAGCCTCACTCTGCGGCGCGCGAGGGAGCTGAGCACACCGCTCAGAGGAATAGCTCCCTCGCCAGCCGCCCGCCCGACCCACTTGCCAGCGCCGCCCGCCAGCCCAGCATGTCTGTTAGCCGGGAGGCATTTTTTGCCGCCCCCTGAAAAATGCCGCCCAAGGCAAATGCCTTGTTTGCCTCGCAGCTAATACGCCCCTGTCTGAGAGGGTGTGCATGTCACTGAGTCGTCGTATCCGTTTGTGTCTGTCAGTCAAAGTGCATTTTGGTCCTGAACAGGAAGTGGTGGGACAAATCGAGATTAGGGGGGGGGTGCCTGAGTTTCGACATGCCTAGGGCAGCACGAATCTTAAATACACCACTGACCAACATAGGATCTTTTAGGTTAACTCCTGAGTCTTGCTAGCTATGGCACAGTGATAGACTAGGTCACAGATCTTTTCAGAAAATCATCATGGTAAAGAGGGCCGTATTAAGATTAGTAGGAGCTATTGTGTGAACAAGATTGGGGCCTGATGCCATGAATAAGAATAAGCAGTCAGCATCTGCCAGCTATACCTAATCTTCTGGGATTAGCACACCCTTGTCAAGGGTTTTAGGGCCTTGCAGTAGCCCAATGTGGCTGGGGACAAATATGGAATTAGTTGCAGAGGACACTCACGGTAGGTGACTGTTATTGTCTCTTGGCCTGTCAAAAATGTCTTCTTTAAAGGGTGAAGTTAGCAGGTGTCACCAGGAATTGGCAGAGAGAGGAGGAAAGTTGCCCCTTCTTCAGATCCAGGGCCTTACCAGAATTGGAAGATCTTGTTAAATTTCCCCATTTCACTGAGGCAATAAGGAAAAACTGTGCTTTTGTCACAAAGCTTTCAAGGACAAAGAGTTCAATCAGCTATTTTTCTCAGCAGTCAACACCCCTCTGCCTGGAGATTATTTTAGATGCCTCCAAATTAGACATTTCGCCAAACAGGAAGAAGTAAAACTGGCTGCCCACACCCCCTGACCTTTTTTGAAAGATTATGTTTAGAGGAAACTACTCAGACAGGGTTGAATATTATACTATATCAACACATTAGACTCTCGTAATGAATGGGGAAGCTTAGATATGTAGATCAATAGGGCTGGGATGTGCTGGAGAGGAGAGATTGGGAGAGAATATGGAAGGCATGTGTGAAACCCTTCAGAAACAGACATTCAAGACAATGTCCTGCTGGTATACCACTCAAGCTTTGTCACATTGGTAGAAGTGCCACTGGCACCAGTTGGTGGTTATGTGAGGAAAGGGGTACATACTTACACATGTGGTGGTCCTCCCATGGGTGGCTAGGTTCTGGAGGGAGGTGAAGACCGGATAATACAATTTTCCAAAGACACTTTGACCTAGACCCCTGGGCATGTTTGTCCTTTTAAAAACAACCAGCGCAGGTCACGAACACTTTATCCACATTCCATAAGATGTGGGCTTCATGGGAGCAATATGAACCCGTAGAGCCTTAGGCTACCAACTCTATGCATTCTTGGAAATCATTTTTAATTTTTTTTACATTTTCGAACTCTTTTCATTATATTTGTTAAGTTCAAATAATTATTTTGAACTTCCAGAGTATCAACTGCACACCTGGCAAAATAAACATATCTAGTGATTATGCAGTTGTTAAAAATGCCAAATTATTTTGCATGTTATAGTTCTGTTATCATATGGTAAAATATGCAGTTTTGTCATGTATTTATCAACTAACATTGTATTATCTGCATGTCTGTTCAAATATAAAGAATACATTTTTTTTTTTAAAAAGCAACAGGCATATATGAGAACAGAATATATACATATACATATACATACACAAAATACTTAATATAGTTTCCAATTATATGATCAACAGTATCCAGAGCAGATATATGTATATATAGAATTAAACAAATGAAAAAAAAAAGCGCACACTGTGTAATGTGAATATAAAAAATGATATATATTGTTTATAGATACTGTTGATCATCTCATTGTAAACCTCCGACTATAATACGCATTTTGTGTATGTAGACACTGGGTGTAGATTTTGCACGATTTATATTTAATGTTTATGTAAAAGTTTTGGGAAAGCAATTTTTATTATACATGCAGTACCAACACTTTTTTTCTCCACTTTTTCATATCTGAGAACAGCATATGCATATACCTCACTACAAAAGGTATAAATATTTAATCACTTACTTATCCAGTATCATCTGTAGGCCACGAAGGCTACGCGGGTGGATCAGTGCTCTTCTGTTAAGAAGCTTGTTGTAGAATGCATTTAATGTTGCATAGTACTCCTCTATTGTCAACATTGGCTGCAGCTCCTCAATGTACACCATTTCAATGCCACCCAAAATTAGACTCACACGTTCCTGCAGATACTGCAACTTCCTCTCTAGTTGGTAATAGCTGGGTAACCTCTCAAACAGCTAATGAAAAAAAAACATTACTGTTGTAATCTTAAAAATATTAACAGTGAATATAGATTATATAATGAGAAATAGAAGCATTGTTTCATTTCTACTCTTCTGTGTTTGCCTTCTCTAAGTGGACTACCTAAAAATAAATGATTGACAGGGAGCTAAGATGGAGGTGCCCAGTTGTAGGTGAAAAGACATGTGGACATCTACATTTAATTTGAGATATTTCACATAAAATCTAGGGAGAAGTAAGAATAATAGTGAAATCCTGAAAGTGACAGTTCCCTTTTCATATTTAACACGCTTTGATTCATAAAAGCTCACTGGTGATGGGTAAGTAGAAGAGTCAATCAATGTTGCCCATGTTGGGTGAAAGACATTGCTATTGTGAAAGTGCCAATTTCCTCATTATTAATTTGGCTGAAATTGAGGTGGGCTCTTGGTACTGTTAAGAGCCCCTGTGTATAGCAAACCATTCTTAAATGGTTTGATATTAAACTGTTGGATGGTACTAATGGACTCTAGGCTAGACCTTTACATTCAACTACATTGGTTAGGTTGCTCAGAATGTCCCTCTAACGCAATCTAATGAGAGATTGGATGGTGCAGGGAATTTCCATATTAATCACTGTTAAATTAAAAAATAAAAATAACTGCTGCTATTTTATAAAAAAGGATTGTATTGTCTTAATTTGTATATTCAGAATTATAGAAACTAGAAAATGATGCATATAACCAACATTCCTTTTTTAATTATCTCTCTTTAAGAGAAAAGAAAGAGCAACTTATGTCGTGGAAAGGTTTAATCATTATATGAATGATATTACTTGGTCGAACTACCGTTAAGAAATGCTTAAACTTCCATGGTTTTGTTTATTTATATGTGGGCTACTCGCCCATTTTTCAGGCTAAAATGTAAAACTTGGTTCAAGGCCAATGACCGGTGCTGTTCTACGCACTTTTTAAGTGAGACCAGACTACTGCTGCACTATATGTACAATTATTTTGAATATTCTTAAAGAATTAAAAAAATAAATACAAATTAAAATTACCAATAAGCCATCAAAACTCATAATGCTCATCTTCATTTGTACACATATTTACTTGATTTGTACCAAGTTTTTTTTCATTAAACCCCCCCCCCTTTTTAAAAAAATCGTTTCATTATTTCATTGCTTTCCATGCAAGAACACGGAGTGTTTTCTTTTCTACCGATGTAATTTGTTGACTATTAGGGTTTAAATAAAGTTCTGTATTGGTTTAGTAGCTATATGCTGTTTTGCCTTTGGTTTTTAGATTTAATTCTAAACTGGCTATGCTTTTTTTACTTTTAAATTATTCGGTAGTTGGAGATATTTTGAAAGATATTTTAAAGATTTCAGCTTAACTATTTTAAACAAGTTTTGCAAGCTGTTTTAAATAATGACAGTGTCCTTTTAAAGGACCACTCTAGGCACCCAGACCACTTCAGCTTAATGAAGTGGTCTGGGTGCCATGTCCAGCTAGGGTTAACCCATTTTTTCATAGCAGTTTTAGAGAAACCTTCCCCTATTTCCTCCAGTGGCTGTCTCATTGACAGCCACTAGAGGCGCTTGCGTGCTTCTCACTGTGATTTTCACAGTGAGAGCACGCCAGCGTCCATAGGAAAGCATTATGAATGCTTTCCTATGCGACCGGCTGAATGTGCGCGACGCTCTTGCCGCGCGTGCGCATTCAGCCCAGGAGGAGGAACGGAGGAGGAGAGCTCCCCGCCCAGCGCTGGAAAAAGGTAAGTTTAAACCCCTTTCCCCTTTCCAGAGCCGGGCGGGGGGGGTCCGTGAGGGTGGGGGCACCCTCAGGGCACTATAGTGCCAGGAAAACGAGTATGTTTTCCTGGCACTATAGTGGTCCTTTAAGTAAAGGCCACTAACTGATTTAGAAATATAATACATGCACACAAATAGATATTGTAAGATCAGTTTAGGAGGAATGCATCTTTTAAATTTGTATATTCAGAAATAAGAAAATAATGCATTTAACCAACATTATGTTTTTTTTAAATCATTGTTCTGTTAGCCAAAAAAAAAATTTAAAAAAAATGAACCTAACCAGCAACCTAGTTTTGGAAAGGTCTGATCAATAAATAAATAGTATTACTTAGTCGGACCACCTTTAAGAAAAACTTTTGAACAATCAACATGTGCTGTTGTAAAAAAATAAACAAACAAACATACAAATAAATTAAATCAGCAGAGTGTTGCTCATTTGCATTACACTCAATGATGAGACTTTGGCCATTTACAATATAATGCATACCAGTGATAACAATCCAACAAAGAAAATCTGCATTACTCTGTTAACGGATTACTTGAAGTAGTGGAATAATTGTTGCACTTTTGCTGCCTCAAACATCTACATTTGTGTAAGTGTGATATCTTGTGAGCTGGTATTTTTTGTATTACTGAGACAACTTTGACCACTTTCATTATCATTGATCACCTCAGTCCAATGATGGTGGACATCCATGGTTCCCAACATGACATGACCAGTTGCACTCAAGCCCGTGCAGTCTGTAAATATCACAGTGCGACCTGGAAAGGTAAAGAAGGTACTGAGGAAAAGTATTTAAACATACATATAATTTTCATCTCCATGTAGCTGTAAGGGAGGAAGCCAAAATGGTTGGAACTACAAACACCAAAAATACCATTTTAAACCCAGAGCAATCAAGATTTGATTTATAAACGATGTAATTTAAAAACTGATACTGTTGTAGAACAGATATATTTGGTGTTGTACCACGGACACAATGGTGAATATAAAGGGATTTACAATATTTACCTTTAGCCATCTTTAGAGACTCAGGACTCTGCTGTGTTAGGCGGCTAAGGCTTTGTAGCTGACTACACCGATGAGCAATACCCCAGCTTCTCTGCCATCTGCATATATGGATGAAGGATATCTTATCAGTCTTTTTGTTTTATTTTGTAGTTATCAAAAAACACAAACATAAAAGGGTAAACATTACTAATTTACAATAAGATCCCACAAAAAGGGTTAATGTACAAATTAAAAGCATCAGTGTAGATTAAGATTTTTCTTGTTGGAGTGCGCACTGGTTTAAAGATAGAGAGTAAGAGAAGTAAATGGAAAACCTTCAAGTTGGACAAAGCAGTAGAAGAGTACTTGGGTTTCTGGTTCTGTTTAGTAACAATCCTGAAAATCATGTGTCAACTTGCAGATGACACAAAACTAGGTAATATAGTGTGAGAAGTATATTATTTTGTCTGAAGAGGGATTTGGACAAATGAGGGCACTGGGTAGCAATTGGCAGATGAGGTTTAACACTAAAATGTTATCTGTTTTTGAGAGGAGAAACACTCAAGCAATGTATATCCTAATTTGTACTGAGTCAAAAAAAATATAAATAAGAACAACTTGGAATAGATAGACAACAGACTAGGCAGCAATGTTAAACAGCTAAGAAAAGTAGGTAGGCCAGTAAAGTATTATTATGCAGAAAGAGAGGCATGGATGAGAAGTGCTGACTCTAATCAATAAACTGATGGCTGTCTCACTGCTTTCATGCACCATACTTTACCCTTATGTATAACAACTTGGCTTGCTTGGGAAGAAAAATAACACCGGATACCTTGTGATGTCCTTGGTAGTACCTCTTGCAGTTGGTCCTCATTTTCTTTACTCACCCTTTGTATCCCTCTCCTCACCCTCATTCCTTAAATTCCATTTTACTGAAAATGTAAAAACCCTTTGTTGGGCTTTTCTGGTGTTATGGCTTTAATGTATGTACCTAACTTTAATAAAAAAATAAAAATAAATAAAAAAGGAATGAAAGCTTTTAGTTATGAAGAAAAATAAGAAAAATATAGAAAACTCATGCAAATAACCCCCCCCCCCCAAAAAAAAAGAGAGAGTAAATCTTAGAAGGGATATGATAACATTATACCACTAAACACAGCGCAGGCAGCTGTCTGGTGTCTGCTCGTTATAGGACTGCACAAAAGACAAGAGGTCACCTAATTAGACTTGAAGAAAGGAGATTTCAACTATGGCAAAGGAAAGGGTTCTCTACAGTAGGAACAACGAAAATGTGGAGTTAACTGCCCTAAAGAGTCGTCCCCCCCCCACTTTAACAAGACCTGGAGGGTGCACCCTTTTTCCTTTTAAATATATATTCATATATACACACACATAGACTGGAAATTACTGGAACATGACAGATTACATTTTGTCAAACTCTTACCGCACGTCTGACAACTGAAGCTGACGAGAGAGTTCTTGCTTTAAGCGTTCTAGTTCTTCTCTCAATGGTAAGCTCGAGTGTAGCTTCTTGAGGGCCTCATCATGATTATTCTCTAACCAGGGGCTAAAAGAAAATATACAAGGATCATTACATAATACAGGGTCATGAGCAAAACAAAAAGGCCACATCATCTCAAATCAACTGCTCTGGTCATAGAATAAATACAGACTCTGACATATAACACATTTTAAGTTCACTCACAGGAGAGAAAGCAGTTGAAAACGTATAAAATATATGAATTCCAGCATTATTGAACTTAAGGTGGATCTGTCATGGGCAACGGTTTTTTTAATTGTTCCCCTACTTTGTCTTATGTATTTTACAAGAACAAGATTGAAAAGAAGAACGGATTCTGAGAGAGGAAAATAAGTGAAAGGTAAGTTTGTGGTAACAGAGCAAGATCGTATTTTTATTGAACAGACAAAAACGTTATAGATCAGATCCGAAAATCCCACAGGTGAGGGGATAGGTGTGGACACTGGATGTAACGCCAACCGATCTACAATAGAATGTGTTCTGTGATGGATGTGACAGACCAGATCCTATCTACATGCATCCTTTATTTTTATTTTTTAAACAAAGCATTGGTTTTGATCCAAAAGGAACAGTGACCAGAAACCAGCCATGGACTGTACAGTTTCAACATTGTGGGTCTTGTTCCGGTACTGGTTCTGGTCTGGAAGTTGAAGTGTCTCTGAGAGCATATTACTAAGTACCTAAGTAAATGAATGTAGTAATGTTTATTTAATGAGTTTCAAGGTTGAACTTGATGGACTTTAGTCTTTTTTTAAGCCTAGACAACTATGTAACTATGTAAAACAAAAATGAAACATAAGGTATGTTGCGGAAAAAGAAGATACACACTTATTGCTACACGGTCTACATTTTGCATGCCAATAAAATTGTATCTTCAGTGTTCCTTTAAAGTGGCTCTGTCACCTCAAACTTACCTTTGTTAATTGAGAAAGGAAGTGGCACTTGCCTTCAGCTCCACCATTTCTCAAGATTTGTCAAGCATAGGAAAAATACAGAAGACAAAGTAGCCGCTAGTTGTCTTATGTTTTAAAGAGAAATGGATTAGAAATGATAAGAAGAACAGATTTTAAAAGGGGAAACAGGAAACAACAGGAGAAAGGTAAGCTTGTGGTAACCGGACCATTTTAAGAAATAACCAACTTATAGTTCATTGCAATTTCCTAATACAGAACAAATAATATTTGTAATAAAAAGAGCAGATAAATGTACATACGAAATAGTGGTTTCAACGCGCTGAGCTTGCTCTAGCTCCTCTTCAGGATCTTTAAAACCAGTGAATGTATAGTAGGTCTTGTCCCACTTTATGGGCCTGTAAAATGTGTGTGGGTCTTTCTGTGGCTGAGACTCCACGCTGGCTCCAATGTCCTGTACATGGTCCGTGGATAAGCTGCATGAATTAAGGATATCTAACACAGTTCTTCTAAGATCCCTGGTATGCAAAGTGAAACTGACTGTTCGAAATTCTATCGAATGCATGGAGAAACAAAACACAAGAAACCAAGAAAAATAAATTAAGGATCAAAGTGGTTAACAAAAATCACTTTTTGCCAAGAGGTTGATCCATAGCAGATGTGAAACTGCAACAGTTTATAAAGCTAGCAAAGCAACATGTAAGCTGTAGTTCAAAAACAGCTGGGGGATCTACCTTTTGGCCACTCTTGATATAAAAACACATTCAATGGACACTATAGTCACCAGAACACTATAGTTCTTGTGAGTATAATTATTCTCTTCAGGTATTTTCATGCAAGCACTGCCTTTTCAGAGAAAAGGCAGTGTTAACATTGCCCCTTAGGGTCACCCCCAGTGGCCACTCCTCAGATGCTTCCTGGGCAGTGCTGCTCAGTAGGCACCACTGCCGTTCAGCGTCTCTATGCTCTCCATCCTGCCTCCTTGCCAATTTCAGCCAATCAAATGCTTTCCCTATGGGAAGTAAATATTCTCCACGGGAAAGCATTGGATTGGCTAGAAATTGGTGTAAATTCTGATGATGTCACCAAGGAGGTGGATGGGGGAGAGGCCAGCGCCAGCGGGCCCACGCTGCGTTGGAAATAAGGTGAGTTTTAACCCCTTCTAAGGAGGCTAAGGGTGAGCAAGCCTCCTTAATGGTGGTTTTAACACTGTATGGTCAGGAATACAGGTTTGTGTTCCTGACCCTATAATGCTCCTTTAAGTTCTTTCTAGCCTAATTCATTAAACAGGAATCATAAGTAAATATTCCAAATTATAACAATAAAAAACGTTTATATTAAACAGATATGATTTTATGGAGACCAACAAAGAATAGGACCAATTAGTATGTACTACCTGGTACATAAAAGTAATATTAATCTCTGTTATGCAAAGTGAAACTTACTGTTCGAAATTATACAGACTGCAAGGAAATCCTATTTAGTAATTCAAGTTTTTATCCCTAATCGGGAATATGCTACACATAGTCAAAGGCAATGAACTGCTGTATTTTAAGATGTGACCTAAATATAACTTCAAAAGACATGTTGCAAATGGGGCTGCATTTCTTGCTCGATTATATCTTTTATTAGCACAGCCTATGGTGGAGGGTAGGGGGTTTGCAAAGTGTTTTTTGGTTGTGTTACTGACATTTGGCGGTGCTCAGTTTGTTATAGATACATAATATCATGCATTGTATAGAACATCTTACCTAGTGCTCTTGCAGGATCTTGAATATTCACAGCATTCTGTTCAGTTTCTCGGACATAGAACGTGAGCTGTGCAGGTTTGTGAGATCTTAACCCTGGTTTCTGAAGACTTTCCAAGTAGCCATTTAATCTTTTTAGAGAGTTTTCATTAATTTCCTTTAAGAGAAAAAACAAAACACACTTAAACTATACTTCAACGTGAGATCTGTAAACTGTGTTATAATATAATAAGGTCATGGCCAAAAATAATCGCTTTTTGGAAGGATGTAATGAGATTTGAAATTTTAATCGAAGTTTGTCTCATGAGTCATAAGTTGCATCTTGCATGGAAGCGATAGGGGAGCGTACTTCCAAAGTAATTTATACTATAACAACATTCAAGGAAGGTTCCAAACATATCTTTATGAATCAGATTTACATTTTTTTGCATGAACAAGTTGGAATTTCACCTTTATGGTTTGGGGTGAGCCTCCTCTGAACAAATCATTTAATTATATGCATACACAATTATAAATATTGTAGGCTTGTGGATACTGTGAATTGATATATCTGACTTTTCATCTGTTTGTGTATCCTAGCCTCCCCTCCCCCCCTTTGTCAGTCCCTACATTGGCTTCCCATAAGATATAGGACTCAATTTAAGATCCTGACACTTGCTTACAAATCTCTACACAATGCTGCTCCGACCTACTTATCCTCACTAATACACAAATATGTCCCATCTAGGCCCCTACGCTCTGCTGGAGACCTACGTTTAACCTCTGTTCGTACTCCTACCTCTGATGCTCGCCTTAAAGACTTCTCTAGGCCTGCACCGTTCCTATGGAACGCCCTTCCACTCTCTGTTAGACTTTCACCCAATCTCCACTCCTTCAAAAAAATCTTTGAAAACGTACTTCTTTGGGAAAGCATATCAATTAAACTGTGAACAGCTGTCCCTCCCTGCACCCGAATTCCTCTCCTGAAACTGTCAGCAAAACAAAACACTAAACCCTCAATGAACACTATCCTAGCAATCTACTTTTCTACCCTACCCTTACCTTTTGTGTCACTTTACTCCACTCCCTCTAGCAGGTAAGCTCATTGAGCAGGGCCCTCAAACCCTCTGTTCCTGTGCGTCCAACTCGTCTGGTTACAAATACAAGTCTGTTCGTCCACCCATTGTACAGCTCTACAGAACTTGTTGGCGCTTTATAAATAATAATCTTAATAATAATAAATAATAATAATAAAAGGGTTTTGCCAATTATCCATATATTGCATTTTAGCCTTTAGGGCTCGTTTGACAATTTATTTAACCCCTGATATACCTCTGCCAACATTATTACATTTAATATATTAGATTAAATATATTTATTCCCTCCTGGGGTAGTGCATACTATTTGTGACAGACCTTCAGGTTAGATTTTGCATATATATTTGTATTTCCATATATTCGTTTTTTGTTACGTACCTTTCTCCGGGATGTTGCACTTTTTCCTTGATATAGGCTTGGTTATGGTTTCCATAGTTACCTTGTTTTCATTTAAGGCATGTGACTTTACCACCCTCCTTCATAGGTTAAATTTGGGTACGTACTTAAACGTTGCACTATTGTTTTGGCAATGTCTTGATAAAAGTCTCAGAGAGGACTTTGATTTTTTATTTCTGTGTACTGTGTAAAATGCTAGCTGCTTTAAATAAAGCGGCAGTACTTTTGACCACTACTAAGTCTCCTGAGTGCTCTCTTACAAGCTGATTAGTGTTTTAGGCCAGAAAATTGACACTTTTTAAAAATAAATTCCTGGCTGTTGTGTGGGGTATTATTCTTTCATGGAATAAATAATATTTCGGTGTCAGGTCTAGAATATATTCTATTTATTTATAAAATAGTTTACCAGGAAGCATATATTGATATTTCTCTTGTTTTCAAGTATGTCCTGAGACACAAATAGAACTGAATACAACTGCCTGTTCAGATCTGTATGTATTACAGATGTCTTTCGTTTGATACTAACTGTAACAATTTGTGCTGACAATGTATTTATGGTGTCAAGATCCCGAGCACTTAATATCCTTCCCTTTTCAGAGCCTCTGCCAGCTTGCAGTCCATGACTTGGTCCACTCTGTATTGGCCTTCCTTGCTGGGAGTACTGAGGCAGCTGATTCCACACGGTCTCAATTATGATTTCTATCTCACATGTGCGAAGGGAATGACATATTTAAAGGCACAGTAAAGCTCAACAGAGCAATGTGATATTGTATGCCATGTCTTTATGGAACTTGATTTTGCAATCCAGCTAAAGTTCATTGTATGTTATCTAGCACTAACTCGTGCTACCAGTAACTGCAATTAATTACCTAACAAGCCTGTGTTTTCTGTTTATTGCTGAACCAGCCTGTTCCCAACTACATATCCTGGTTGAGAAATGTGCAATGTATTAATCCCACAAGTGATTACTTCACTACATCTGGGCTCCATAAACAATCTACTGTCCAATGGTACCCCACAAACAAATTTGTCTTTATAATATAAGGTAAGATACTAATGGCTGTGTGCAGGCAGGATTGCAGTATAATCTCTTATACTTGGGCCTGTGTGTATACAGCATACACAATCTGATAGCCAGAGTGAAGCATAACTTTCCCCTTTGATGTCACTGAACCAGGAGGTGGGATTACAGATACAGCCATTTTTGCAAATTGATGCAGCGGTAACAAAATATTTCGTTACTGGAGTTCTTACTGCGAAGTTACCCAGACCCCATCCAATGTCACTTCATCCCTCGTGAGGTTTAATCAAATGCTTCACATACTGAAGTATTTGGACTGTTTCATCAGCACAGAGTGAATGCCAGTGCTTTGAGTTGGAGAGGGAGTGGGCAATGGAGGGAAGGAAGGGATTTACTATTTCAGCAAATGGAGGGAGGTGGGGAGGGTTCCAGGCTGCCTAAATCAGGTGTACTGCAAATATATCGGTGTGTAGAGAATTTCAAGCAGATAAGCTGCACATACAGATTCCTACCACTATGGTTACTACTAAAAGCAGTTCATAGTGCTTGGAAGAAGTCTTTAAATCTTACAGCATCTTTAAGTTAATCTCAAACTTTGATGGAGCACTCTGGGCACCATAACCCCTTTATATGACAAAAGTGGTTATGTGCCTGGAGTACCCTTGCCTCCTTACTTTACTGAAGATGCGTCTCCAGGCACTGCTGTGCTGCCTCTCCTCCTATTCTTGGGCAAATACAGAAACAATAGTTGAGCAGCAAAGGAGCAAACGAGAGTGATAAGCTGACGCCCCCTGGCCATTGCGGCTAAAGGAAAACAAAAGGCACACGCATTTATTCCTGATGGGCAGCATATGACAGACAGAAAGATTCAACTGGCAAACTCAACCCATCACTGCCGCCCCTTCGCTACTCAAGCAAATGCTTTTGCATTAGTCTGAGCACAGGAAGAGAGGAACCATACCAGTGAATGGGAAGACATCTTTACGGTTAATATCTTTGAATGTAAGACAGTGCAAGGGGGACTACAGGCATCTCAATAAAGTGGTTATGGTTCCGGAGTGTATTTAACAAATCAAGACTTCACGTGTATATATAATTTGTACAATTCTTAATATAAATTTCCATTATTTTTACATTAAAGGCGCACCAAAACAACTTTAGCTTAATGAAACAGATTTATGTATAGATTATGCTCCTGCAGTCTCACTGATCAAACTCACTGATCAAACTCTGCCATTTAGGAGTTAAATAAGTTTTGTTTATGCACAGACCTCCCCTCTCTAACTCACAGAGCCCGCATGACAAAAAAATGGCTTAATTTTCAATCAGACTTTAAATTGCTTTAGAAGTTGTATCTACTGCTCTGTAAATTGAACTTTCATTACATATGTGAGGCTCCTGCAGGCTCTATAAGGCTAATATCAGAGCAAGAGATAAGAAGTTCCAGATTTAACAGACTGTGCAATAAAGGAACATAGAATGTCTAGGTTCTTTTTCAGTAAGTGTTTAGGATTGCAGTGTAAGTCACATGCAGGGTGACTAGGGCTGCATAAACAAAGTGATTTAACTCCTAAATAGCAGTGAATTGAACGGTGAGACTGCACGATATATACACCAAAACGGCTTCATCAAGCTAATGTTGTTTGGTTCCTATAATGTCCCGTTAAAATAAACAGAAGTGACATTCAAAAATATGCTAAACATTCAAAGACTTACCCTTTCTCTTGGATGCTGACCAAAGAAATCTGGATGCACTGCAAAATAAAAAGGTCTTAATGCATTGATCGCATCTGCACCTGACAGGTATCTGGCTTGGAGAAGATGTTTCTGATACACATTACCCCAACACAGTCTGAAAAAGGATAAATAAAAAATGTCAAACACAACATTCTCTGGCTTTATAAGATCAAAGAAAGGCTTTCGCAAATCTTACCTGTAGGCAAGTTAAGGTGTCACTTTAAGCATCATAACAACCTCTTTTCTATGCATAAATGCTGCAGTCCCAGTCTGCACAAGCTGAGTAGGCCATACAAGTTCCCATCTTACCTTGAGCTATGGCTGCAACTAGGGAGGTTGCAGCACACATCCCACAATATTGTGAATGTGGCTGTGAAGAGGCTGAAAGAAGTCACTATATGACTGCAATTGACTTATTCAGTATTTCAGTTTGTACATTTTGGTCTAAAATATGGATAATATATAACTCGATTGTCTACTCTTCACAAATCCTGGTTAAGTGAACAACCAACTTTACTTCCCATGTTACAATTCACTTAAAGGGACACTATGGGCACCCAGACCACTTCAGCTCATTGAAGTGGTCTGGGTGCAACATCCCATCACCCTTAACCCTACAGTGGTAATTATTGCAGTTTCTGAGAAACTGCAATAATTACCTCTCAGGGTTAACTCCACCTCTTGTGGCTGTCTACCAGACAGCCACTACAGGGACCTCAGGGTGTTTAGACGACTTTTGGTGCATCAGGACTTCCATTGTCACAGGAATCTCCACAGGAAAGCATTGATTAATGCTTTCATATGAGGAAATCCTAATGCATGCATGCACGCACATTAGAGCCGGATCCAGCACCAAGGGACATCAGCGCTGGATTCAGTTATGTGACTGAAGGGGTTTGAACCCCTTCAACGCCGTGGGAGTGGGACGCGAGGGAGGGAGAACACTGTAGGAACCTATAGTGCCAGAAAACAGCTTTGTTTTCCTGGCACCATAGAGTCCCTTTTAATACACTCCAGAATTAATGCAGCCTTAGAAGGAATCTTTGTTTTTATCCCCCATACATGACACTAGCGGTCACGGATGTCAAACAGTTTTCAGCACCCTGGTGCCATCAGATGTAACAGTTAATATATTTTGTATAATACAATATTGAATATTTTGTTTACTCACATTTCCTTGCCATTCACCGCATTGAGTTTGCTACACATAAAGTAAAATCAAATGTACCACAAAATTGTCTGCTCCTGAAACATTCTCCTTTTGCATTAGACCAGCGGTTCTCAAACATATGAGTGTGAGGCTCTCTTTTAAAATGTTCTAAAACAGTTTAACAAATTACACTGGGACAGACTGGCAAATAACCACTACAGTGAGTTGCATTTGTAGTGGAACTTTAGTGTTCTTTTATTGAGTTAAATCCCACAAATATCAGGAATCATCTCTAATGAAAGAGTTGGCATATTTTATTTGAGTATGTATTTTAATTTTACAGTTGAAGAATGAGTCAGTCAGTCATTCTCCGTTTTGGCTTTATTTTTGTTAAACAAATCCTGACACAGCGTAATATGTCATCCTAATTTTAAGACCTGCTAAGGAACACATGATTGTTATTATGCCCTGATACGTAAAAACATAGTATTTAAAGAAGGTGTACTTTCTTTTTCCCATGACTTTATATAAAGCACGCAGTGGGTACTCTGTGGAAATGTATGCTGCCAATCAACATACAACACATTCTTTCATAATTGCTAATTAATACGACAGCAATTTGTTTGTTCATAACAGATTTTACCGAAATATCACTATTCTTTGTTTTGTCTAGGACACCAATTTACAGTTACTGCTATGCTAAAATTATGCTATTTGCCCTTTTACATAATAGCAGTTTTTCTGCTTCAATGTTAAGCAGAACTTTCCTGATAATTAAAGGACCACTCTAGGCACCCAGACCACTTCAGCTTAATGAAGTGGTCTGGGTGCCTGGTCCTTCTAGGGTTAACCCATTTTTTCATAAACATAGCAGTTTCAGAGAAACTGCTATGTTTATGAATGGGTTAAGCCTTCCCCTATTTCCTCTAGCGGCTGTCTCATTGACAGCCGCTAGAGGCGCTTGCGTGCTTCTCACTGTGATTTTCAGTGAGAGCACGCCAGCGTCCATAGGAAAGCATTATGAATGCTTTCCTATGTGACCGGCTGAATGCGCGCGCAGCTCTTGCCGCGCGTGCGCATTCAGCCGACGGGGAGGAGAAGAGGAGGATCGGAGGAGGAGAGCTCTCCGCCCAGCGCTGGAAAAAGGTAAGTTTTTACCCCTTTCCCCCTTCCAGAGCCAGGCGGGAGGGGGTCCCTGAGGGTGGGGGCACCCTCAGGGCACTATAGTGCCAGGAAAACGAGTATGTTTTCCTGGCACTATAGTGGTCCTTTAAGTGCAATTATTGTTTTAAGTGAACTGGCTTTTAATAATGTTATCCTTTAGCGGAAATGCTTTAAACACTAGATTATACCATACTGAAAGGAGGTTAATAATATTGAAGTTTCTACTACACGTTTCTTCAACATCTACTTGCTGTGGTTCACCTTTGACCTAAAGTAAAAAAAAAAAAAACCATAACCAGGAGAGATGGAGGTATCTGGTGGTCTACTTACCAATAATGTCTACATTCAGTCCAGCTTAGATAATTGTTGAGGAAAACCTAATGACAAGCGTACGTCTTAACTAATATGATATCTGCCTGCAAATGGTCTAGTTTTCTTAACCTTCTTGGACATCAACCCAATTTATGTACGGGACATTCTTCCATTGTAATGTAGCATAAAAAATAGGGCTATATTGTACATAAAAAAACAGTGCTACTACAGTAAACAATTTATTGTGTGCAGTTTCTTGAGCTTCGAGGAGTATGGTATACCACGTTCTAAATGGGGATCCATTCAATAGCATAGTGTCCCAAATTTGGTTTCTAATCCAGATGTTAAGAACTACTGATCTATTCTAGACTAATCATTAACGTTGTGCTTAAACGTGCTTTGCAAATTCAATGTGTGTTTGTCACCTTACATTTTCTTTAAGGAAGTTAAAACAATATTCTTAGATAATCTGATCAAACAAAGATATAGTTAAAAACAATGGCAGATGTGGATGACACAAAAATTACTTTTAAAAATATGCAAAAGTAGAGACCATTAATGAACAGATAATTAATAAATATTCTGAGCTGTAAAAAGTGCTTAAAAGACCAAGACCCAATAGAACACTGTACAGTGCCATGGGAGGATTGACATAACTTTGTGAAGGGGTGGGTGCCTCAGATCTAGCCTCCACTGAATTTTAAAGCTGCAACCCTTTCATTTTAGAAGTGGGTGATAAACAGCAGGGGGCACTGTGGGAACACCATGACAAAGTGATTCCATGTCAACTAAAAGTACATGCATAGCAATATGGAACATTAAAGTCTTAGTTCATCTTAATAGCTCACCTGCTTGAGGCTCTGTAACAGCCAAACATGTCAGTGTTACGGTAAAATTCAGCATACGATGATCGAACGAGAACCTTAAAAAAACAGAAGGAAATAAAATACCATGAACCAAAGCCAAGATGGACACAATGTTTGGATAATACCCACAAAGATGGCTCCTATAAATGGAAATGGGAGCTTCTATTTTGAAAACTTTGTAAAGAAACTAATGCATGTGTCTATTAAATATATTCACAGTAAAATGATCCCTAAAATTGGCTTCTGGATTCCGATTTATAAATATGTTTGTGAACCACATTTCATGTTACAAGGATATTTATAATTTATACTGTGTAACTACAAATATCTCTCCACCCCCCAAAAGCTAAATGGTAGGAACAATAACGCAAGATTCATTTCTCCAGCAGAAAATGGAAACATAGTGGTTTAGTTAATAAACAGTAAATTGTGTTTTTTGATTTGAATGCAGAATTCCAAAATTTCGGCAAAAGCAGCATGTATGTAAACAAAATCCAGTTTAGCTATGGTTGCAGCTTGATTATTTTTAAAATGATAAGTTGACTATTTTTAAAGTGTTTTAATTGTGTTTACAATTTCCTGCAATTTGTCATTAGTGAATAATTCCCACAGGTAAGCAACATTCCCTACATCATAATTTTTTTTAAAATTATTATTATTTATTTATCTTAATTACCACTGGTTTTCTAAGCATGTGGAGAGGATGTATAGTATAGATAAGTGGAAGTTTGCAAAAAAAATAAAAATAATAATAATAAAAATTTTTTTTATATATATATTTTTTAAAAACAAAAACAGTCTAGATAACTTTGTTTGTGTGGTTTTTTTTTTTTTGTTAGTTTTATTTTTAAAGAAAAGACCAGGTTGGAAGCCCAATTTGAAGAAGGATTTTACATTAATTTGTATTAACAGCAGAAAATCGGATGTGTGAAAACATTTATTTGACTGACTTGAGTGTTTCTTCATATTATGTTACCATGTATTGAACATCCTCTTACCTGTAGAATGAAATTTATGAGGATGTATTCATGAAACAGAGCATTAGAATGATTTGATGACCACAGTGCAAAATGTATATAAAAATAGCACAGTTGGAAGACAATCTTCAGTTTTGCCAAAATTGAGATTCCCCCACCAACTCTAAGGTATATTTTTTGTTTATGACAATTCTCAAGTCAACACAATTTAATGTATAAAATAAGTTACCATAGCCTTCATTTAAGATTCCTAATGGGATTTTACTGGGGCATGTCATTTCATTTATAAAGTGAGAGGTTTCACCTTATGAATCTTTCTGTCCAGTGGTCACATTTGCTATGTAATAATTGCTAGCATATTTTGGACTTTGACTTATTTCTACACCTTCCCTCTAACAAGTCCTTTCTTTCCTGACAAGATGAAGAAACATAATGGACACCTTTTTCCAGAGCTCAATTGCCAATCTGATTAAATCGGAGCACTTACCAACTCAACAGATGCAATTGACTTTAGTGCAAGAAATGTTTCCTTTGAACTTCTTGAACAATTTTTTGCAACATATTTAGCAAGTTACATTTAACTGGCCACTATTATATTATGTGTGCATATATTAAAGGGACACAATAGTCACCAAAACATCTTTAACTTAAGGAAGTAGTTTTGGTGTATAGATCATACCCCTGCAGTCTCAAACCTCAAATCTCTGCCATGTAGGAGTTAAACCACTTTGTTTATACAGCCCTAGTCACACCTCCCTGCATGTGACTTGCACAGCCTTTCTAAATACTTCCCCTGTAAAGAGTCATCTAAGGTTTAAACTTCCTTTATTGCAAATTCTGTTTACTTCAGAATTTTTTATGTCCTACTCTGGTAATAGCTTGCTACACCCTGCAGGAGCCTCCTGTATATAATTAAAGTTCGCGAGTATCCAGACATAAACCACCTTGAGGTCTTGATTTGTTTTTGAACATTTAACTTTTTCTTCTCATTCTTATTATTTTATTGTTGGTCTACTGTTGGCCAGGGCCGGACTGGGAAATCATTTTAGCCCGGACATTTAAATATAGAGCAACCCAGTAGAAGGGGCTGGGAAAGAGAGGGGTCATGTCATCAACAATTACACGCATGCCACCTCAAAGTATGTATGTTAGTTTGCTGTCCCTCCATGGGCATCTCATGCGCAGAGCCCTGCTGAAGAACTCTTGCATGGGAGTGATGCCCTGTGTTTGTCTTGCACAGCACAGCTCTGCGTTTGCTTGTGACTTATCTCTGGTGTCACTACAAAAGGACAAAATTGGGGCATGGGCAGTAAAGGGTGTTGTGCATGGAGGCTCTCTGTGGTGCTGTATGTGCTTAAGGGCTGGTTGTGGGATTGAGTGAATCAGTGGTGTATTGTGTGTGGCTCTGGACAGTAGTGTGTATGTGTTTCCACTGGTTGTAAAGTGTTTGCGTTTATGGGCTGTAAATATTGTTTGTGTGTGTATCTCTCTCTCTAACGTTGTAGAGCGATGTATCTAACGTACATGTATATGGACTGTAGTGTGTGTATATTAATATATGGGCTGATATATGGATTGTATTGTGTGTATATATTACTACAAGGGCTGTAGTGTCTATATTAATATATGGGCTGTACTGTGTGTATTAATATATGAACTGCTTTGTGTGTACAGGGGCTACAGTGTGTTTAGATTGGGGCTGTTTTGTTTGTGTGTGTAGATGCTTTAGTGAGCATTTATGGGCTGTTGTATGTGGGGGCATAGGAGTTCAGGCTGCAGGGAGGAATAAAATATTCAAAAAAAAAAAAAGGAAGGAAGGAAGAAGAAATATCTATAACTTCTCTCTTATATTATCTTTGGCTAAGAGAGAGGGACATCAGAGGGATTTCTTAGTCGCTTAACGTCAACCAGACTTTATTGCTGCAACTTATTCTTTCTAATCGCCTGCTGCATATCCTAGTCAATCAGCCTGACAAGCAATTTCATTATTCTAGAGCTCCTGTATTAGTTATTATTGATCTTCTGAGAGCCAGCTCCTCACTTACAGTCTCGATAATCTTGTTTCCCAAAAGGAGAACTATTTTCACATCTCAATGTACTGGTACCACGTTTAGTTGCACAAGGTAGTCTCCTACCTTTATTAAGATATCATATCACCACTATTGCAAAGATACTACCTGTGAATTGTTACTACGAAAATGTGGATACGTCTTTTTTTTTTTTTTTACTGTGATATTAGTAAATGTATCTTCTTATGCCATGCAATTAACAAAAAAAAAAAACCAAGACGTATGTTTATATTACTGTACATGTTTTGTAGTATGGCAGAAAACCTGGAATCTATGACAGTTATTCCAAATCCTATTTAATACGTTATTGCTCAGACCTGGAGAAGAGAGGAAACATTAACCTTTTAAAAAGATGTCAGCTTTCATTGGACACTGTGGTTGTTATTTATTATTATTTTTTGTGGCATCTTGTCTACTGAACTAATTCAGCTAATCCAATCTCTCTCTCTCTATATGTAGTATAGTGGCCAACTTGGAGGAAACTTATTGTAGAAATTAAATAAAACAAATATATATTTATTTTTTTCTAATTTCTTTATATTATTATTATTATTATTATTAGGTATCCTCAAAGTAGACTACCCCCATAATAACACATGGTAATATTGACTGTAGATGTTGTGAATGATTCTGTTACTAGTAGCAGCACACTGTCAATATTTTCTAGAGGGCGTGCTGCATTTCGTGTAGCCTGTTTACAGTATGAGACACTGCTGTCAGCACACAGTGCCGTGTATACAATCACTGCCCCTCACACAGCAGCAGGCCCTGCACTACCCGTGTCTACACACAGCGCACGGCCCTGCCCGGGGATGCACAGCAGCGCCAAGCGGTTACCATGGCTACGCAGAGGCTGTGACGTCGCCAGGGACGTGGACCTGCTTTCACAGCGAAGACCCAACGGGCTATGAGATCTTACCCGACTTGCCTTACCTTCCCTTACAGAGGTCGCGAGCACCGAATCGTTCGCCGAGCAGCGCATTAGACGAGACCAATCAAACGGCGATTGCGGGATTGTTGACAAGAGAATGTTACCCACGACGTAGCCTGCCCTCCCAGCTATCCGACCAATCAGGAGCCGCCAATCCGGGGAGGCGTGGCTTTATGTATGGGCATTGTCTCATTATAGCATGTTTAATAAAAGAGACAGATATAAGGGCCAGCAATGTGTGATTAATGTGCAGTCCTTGCAACACGTGTCTATACCCATTAATTCTATTTATATGCAGTGTATCAATAATATAAAAAGTAAGGACTATGTGAATGTACAAACATAGTGAAAGTATACTTGTATAGATTTCCCAAAAGTTCAATTAAAATTCCCACTAGGGATATGAACTTAAGAAAAGTTCCCACCACCACCACCACCACCACCAATAAACACATAAACTTGGTATTTCGTGCCAATGAGCAGTAAATTTTGTATATCATGCCAATGAGCCAGGTTTGGCTCCAAAATGTCTGAAAGTGCCATGTGCCCCCAAACAACCTGCCATCGCCATCTCTCTGCTCCCAGCCTCTATGTGCCATCTCCCTGTCCCCAGCCTTACTCTGTCATCTCCCTGCACCCAGCCTCATTGTGTAATTTCCTTGTCCCCAGCCACTTTGTGCCATCTCTCTGCCCTTAGCCTCCCTGTGCCATTTTTCTGCCACCATCATCTTTGTGCCACCTCTCTGCCACCAGCATCTCCGTGCCATTGCTCTGCCCCCAGCCACTCTGTGCAATCTCTCTGCCCTTTGCCTCTTTGTGCCATCTCTCTGCCCTTAGCTTAACTGTGCCATTTTTCTGCCACCATCTACTCTGTGCCACCTCTCTGCCACCAGCACCTAGGTGCCATTGCTCTGCCCCCAGCCACTCTGTGCAATCTCTCTGCACCTAGCCTCTTTGTGCTAGCTCTCTGCTCTCTCTGCACCTAGCCTCCCTGTGCCATTTTTCTGCCACCAGCATCTTTGTGCCACATGGGCGGCAGGATAATTCTATTAATGCAATAAATGCATAAACCTTGTATATCATACCAATAAGCAGCAAATGTATAAACTAGGTATATCATGCCAATGGAGCAATAAATATATAAACTTGGTATATCATGCCAATGAGCAGTTAATGCATACATCCTGAATATCATGCCAAAGAGCAGTACATTCTTAAACTTTGTATATCATGCCTATCAGCCACGGGTGACTACAAAATATTTGCTAGTGCCATGTGTCCGCAAACTACCTGCCAGTGCCAGCTCATTTCTGCCAGCCACTATGTGCCATCTCTCTGCCCTTAGCCTCCTTGTGCCATTTTTCTGCCACCAGGATCTGTGCCATTGCTCTGCCCCAGCCACTCTGTGCAATCTCTCTGCACTTAGCCTCCCTGTGCCATTTTTCTGCATTTAGCCTCTCTGTGCATTTCTCTGCTGCCAGTGAGTGTGACAGAGTGTGTGTAGGAGGGCGACAGTGTGGGAATGGTGAGTGTGAGGTGATGGTGACAGTAGGAGGGATGATGACAGTGGGGGTGATGATAGCATGAGGGGATGGTGACAGTGGGGAGGTGTTAGTGTGTGTGAATGGTGGCAATGTGAAGGGATGGTGACAGTGTGAGAAAGTTATAATGTGAGGGGATGGTGACAGTGTGTGTGGGAGGGTGACAGTGAGTAAATGGTGACAGTGTGGGGTGATAGTGTGGGAGGGAGCCAGTGTGGGAAGTGGTGACAGTGAGGGGTGGTGACAATGGGGGAAGTGCTGACAGTGGGGGGAGATGCTGACAGTGGTGGTGGTGACAATGGGGGGATGGTGATAGTGGAGGTGGTGGTGACAGTGAGGGGAGTGGCGACAGGGAGATGAGGGAGATGGTGATAGTAGGGGTGGTGGTCACGTATGGGACGTGGGGGGATGGTGACTGTGAGGGGGGGATGATGACAGTAGTGGTGGTGACAATGGGGGGATAGTGGTGATGGTGTGGGAAGTGATGACAATGGGGGTGGTTGTGACTGTGTGGGAAGTGGTGACAATGGGGGGGATGGTGACAGCTGGAAAGGTGGTAGTATGAGGGAATGGTTGCAGTGGGAAGGGTGGGGTAGCATGTGGGGAGACTTTGGCTTAGTTACATACATTTAAAAAAAAATATGTAATCCATTCCCTGGTGATCCAGTGGTCTCCTCTCTGGTGGTCCAGTGGGGTAGGTAGACACTCCGCCAGAGCCTCCTTGTCTGCAGCTCTGTCAGGTGCAGAGCTGCAGACCATGGAGTAGAGATCTCGCGATCTCCGGCACTTGATGTGTCACGGTGTTGCCGTGGTAATCCGCGGCAACGCTGTGTTTTGCCGGAGATCACAAGATCTCTACTCCATGGTCTGCAGCTCTGCACCCGGCGGAGCTGCAGACTGGAGGCAGTGACAGTCTACACAGAGGGGTCCTGCACCCGGCGACATACAGGGCAAGCCGACGGGCCCCCTCCTGGTGTCAGCCCTCGGTAATGGATGAGGGCCGATACCTCTGTCAACCTGGTTAACCACCGGTTCGGCGAACTTGTTACATTTTAGTAACAGGTTTCCATGAACCGTTAAGAACCGGCTGAATCCCACCACTGTGTATGAATATATATGTATATATACAATCATTTTGACAGACAAGTTAAGGGGACACTCCAGATCCCTAAAACACATGTGTGAAGAGTGTGTCCTCTTTTTTTCATTTTGCAAAAAGTGCAGATGTCGATAGAAATTGACACTTTTATAAATTAACCTGGTTACACCCCTTGGCTTTCAAGCAGACAGCTGGTATTTCCTGGTTTGGCTAGTTCATTGGACCTAAACTCAAGAGGCAGCAATTGCCCAGAGCACCTGACTTACAAAGATTTCTCATTGAGCTGTATTGGGAAGTCTGTGATTGGACAGCCACAGAAAGTCTGGGCGGTGTTAGAAGAAGAGGGCTTGCAAAGGCTGCAGACAAGAAAACTGCAACTTTTGCAAGCTGTTTTAGATATAGTCCTCTTTTTTTTGTCATTGCATACAATCCCTAAAGATTGCTGCACCTTCTTTTCCTGTTTATTTTACCCCCAATTGAAAAATGCACAATTAAATGCATGCACAATTTCCTTTGGGGTATATCTACTAAACAGTGAGTTTTATTTATTTTGGGCAGTGGAGTGTCCCTTTAAGGGACACTTCAATAAGATGAAGTGGTCTGGGTACCTATAGTATCCCTTTAACTCCTTCCCGCTATTATGGTATTCCATGCCGTCTGCATTTAAACTGGCTTTATAGCCGCTGCGGTGGCATGAAACGCTGTAATGGCTTTGACCCCAGGATACTCACCTTCGCCGCGATCCTCTTTGGGGGTACTGCCTCACAGCCTAAACAGTATCACTCTGCTGAATCAGGCCCCCACAGGACCATGTGATTGCAGAGCAATCACATGGCTAGTGTGGTAGGCTATGGATCTGCCTGCAGGGGGACTGCCTGGTCTTTAGGCAGTTACATAGTTGCATAGCTGAAAAGAGACTTGCGTCCCTCAAGTTCAGCCTTCCTCACATTTGTTTTTGCTCTTTCCCCTTCAATAAAACATTGATTTACAAAATGAATATTATCAAATTTGGCTTCCAATATAATTTCTACGTGGATGACACGCAAATCTAGCTGTCCTCTCCTGATCTCTCCCTGCCCCTCTTGACTAGTGTCTCTAACTGCCTCTCTGTTATTTCTAACTGGATGGCTGCCCATTTCTTTAAACTCAACTTCTGGTCTTTCCTCCCTCAAGTGTTGCTACTCTTGTGTTTATCTCCCTCGAGGTCAACAACGCTACCATCAGCTCCACCACTCAGGCTCGCTGCCTAGGTGTTCTCTTTGACTCCAACCTCTTCTTCACCCCTCATGTTCAGTCAATTGCCAAATCCTGCTGGTTCCATCTCAAAATCATTGGGCACATCTGCCCCTACTTAATGGAAGATGCGGCTAAGGTGCTGGTCCATGATGCCGTCCTCTCTCGCCTTGACTACTGCAATCCGCTTCTCAGTGGTCTTACATGCTCCAACCTTGTGCCGTTACAGTCTATAATGAATGCGGCAGCGAGGCTTATCTTCCTGTCCGCCCGCACCTCACCCCACTGTCAATCCCTAAATTGGCTTCCCATAAGATATAGTTGTTTGGCTTCTTTTTAAATCATAATGATAACAGAAACCACCCAAATGGCCCTGATCAAGAGTTTACATACCATTGAATGTTTGGCCTTGTTACAGACACACACAGGTTAAAATGGCAATAAAAGGTTAATTCCCACATCTGTGGCTTTTTAAAATTGCAATTATTGTCTGAGTATAAATAGTCAATGAGTTTGCTAGCGCTCACATAGATGCACTAAACAGGCTAGATACTGAGCCATGGGGAGCAGAAACAAACCTGCGTAACAAGGTAATGGAACTTTATTAAGATGGAAAAGGATATAAAAAGATATTCAAAGCCTTGAAAATGCCAGTCAGTACTGTTCAATCACTTATTAAGAAGTGGAGAATTCAGGGATCTCTTGATACCAAGCAAAGGTCAGGTAGACCAAGAAAGATTTCAACCACAACTGCCAGAAGAATTGTTCGGGATACAAAGAAAAACCCACAGGTAACCTCAGGAGAAATACAGGCAGCTCTGGAAAAATATGGTGTGGTTGTTTCAAGGAGCAAAATACGAAGATACTTTAGCTGCATGGTCGAGTTGCCAGAAAGAAGCCTTTACTGAGCCAATGCCACAAGAAAACCCGGTTACAATATGCCTGACAACACAATGGCATGCCTCACAGATTCTGGCACACTGTAATTTGGAGTGACGAGACGAAAATTGTGCTTATGATTGTGACCATAAAGCTCTATGTTTGTAGAGGGGTCAAAAAAGCCTATAGTGAAAAGAATACTATCCTGACTGTGAAGCATGGTGGTGGCTCACTAATGTTTTGGGAGGGTGTGAGCTCTAAAGGCACAGGGAATCTTGTGAAAATTGATGGCAAGATGAATGCAGCATGTTATCAGAAAATACTGGCAGACAATTTGCATTCTTCTTCACAAAGGCTGCACATGGGACACTCTTAGACTTTCCAGCATGACAATGACTCTAAGCACAAGGTCAAGTTG